TATATATATATATATATATATATATATATATATATATAATATATATAATATATATATATATATATAATATATATATATATATATATATATATATATATATATATATATATATATATATATACATATATATGCAAAACAACCACTCTGAAAGAAAAGAGAAATTCCAAGCGCTTTCGTGACTACTCACATTATCAAGGAACTATGAAAGTAAAGCATCCAAGGAAGGTATATAAGGGGTCTGGCCAACACCTCACTATCAGATCCCACAACGGTTAAACACCTGACGCGCGCCGGCCCAACTGGACAGGTCCTTTGCAAAACCACCAACAAACTATTCTAACCCAAGAAAATTTTTAAAATTATTATTTATCCTGGACAAATAATAATTTTAAAAATTTTCTTGGGTAGAATAGGTCCCAGAACCGAAACGTTTTCTAATAAATATGTTATAGTGTTTGCTTACGTGTCTTTCTAAACCAACTTGTCGGTATTTATTACCAAGGTTTATACCATATATATATATATATATATATATATATATATATATATATATATATATATATATATATGGTATATATATTATATATATATATATATATATATATATATATATATATGGTATATATGGTATATATATATATATATATATATGGTATATATATAATATATATATATATATATATATATATATATATATATATATATTATATATATATATATATATATAATATATATATATATATATGTCGTGCCGAATAGGCAGAACTTGCGATCTTGGCTTAAATAGCAACGCTCATCTTGCCATACAGGACATGTGAAAATTTGTGTTTGCAATAATTTCGCCAAAATCATTCTGAACCTAACGAAAAAAATATTCAAATTCAAATTCAAATTCAAATTCAAAGTTTATTCTCTATAAGTATTACAATGCTGAATTTACAGAATTTGGTTATTGTGTGGTTTACATGTAGTAAAATAATAATTACAGAGTGTACCACTAGAACGCCTAGCATGGCTAGGCATTTCGGGCAGACTTACATTAAATCTTAGGTTTAAAATGTTACAGAATTATGAGATAAGTTGGTATTATGGCTAAGTGACTAAATACTAGTTGTGAGTTTAGCAATGTGAATGCTTTTGTTTTGGCACTATACATAGTTTCAGTATTGGAGTATCACAGGCCAACTTTTGACTAGTTAAGATTCATTATTTTGAGATTGAGATTGATATTTCTGTTTATGGTCAAATGGGTGAGTGAGTGTAAGTGTGAACCACCAGGTGGTATTCGTGTTATTAGTTGACAGGGTGTATCAGAGAGATAAGATGTTTTCTGATGGTAGTTTTGAAGATGATGAATGTGTCTGTAGTTTTGGAATTTTCAGGTAGGGTGTTCCAGATTTTAGGGCCTTTGACATACATTGAATTTTTGTAAAGGTTTAGTCGGACACGGGGAATGTCATAGAGATGTTTGTGTCTGGTGTTGTGCCTGTGGGTTCTGTCACAACTATCAAGAAAGCGTTTTAGGTCAAGGTTAATATTGGAATTTAAGGTACTGTAGATGTAGATTGCACAGTAGTAAATGTGGATGTACTGAACAGGGAGTAAGTTTAGATCTATGAAGAGTGGAGGGGGTGTGTTGCCAGGGATGGGATTTAGTGATTATTCTTACTGCGGCTTTTTGTTGGGTTATTATTGGCTTTAGGTGTGTTGCTGCAGTTGAACCCCGAGCACAGATAGCATAGGTGAGGTATGAATATATAAGTGAATGGTACAGTGTGAGAAGGGCAGTTTGCGGCACGTAGTATCGTATCTTGGAGAGGATCCCAACCGTTTTGGATACTTTTTTGGTTATATGCTGGATATGGGTGCTGAAGTTGAGGTTGTTGTCGAGGTATAGGCCTAGGAATTTGCCCTCATTATGCCTGGTAATTAGAGTGTTGTCGATCTTAATGTTAATTTGCGCATTTCCTGCTCTGCTACCAAACATAATGTAGTAGGTTTTGTCAACGTTAAGCGTAAGTTTATTGGCTGTCATCCAAGTCGATATTTTGATCAGCTCCTCATTAACAATGGTGTTGAGGGTTGCAAGATTAGGGTGAGAGATGACATAAGTCGTGTCGTCAGCAAAGAGAATGGGGTTCAGGTGTCGAGATACGTTTGGAAGATGTATATGAGGAAGAGCAGGGGACCAAGGATACTTCCCTGCGGAACTCCAGTATCAAGTGGCTGTGTTGTTGATGCTGTGTCTTTAATGGTGACATACTGATACCTATTAGTAAGGTAAGATTTGAAATATGCAAGCGCATGGCCTCTTATACCGTAATGGTCAAGTTTGTGGAGTAGGATGTCGTGGTTTACTGTGTCAAAAGCTTTTCTTAGGTCAATAAAAATTCCTAGTGGATATTCCTTATTTTCCAATGCTGTGTAAAGCAGATCTAGCATTTTTATAATTGCATCGTTAGTGCTTTTATTTTATTTCACTGTGTTCGTTTAGTATTAAATTATTGTAAACAAATCTAAAATATATTTAGTTGGGTTAGGCTAAAATAAATTGTTCTTGTTATAATAAGGTTAGGTAAGTTTTCTAAGATTCTATATATATATATATATAATATATATATATATAATATATATATATATATATATATATATATATATATATATATATATATATATATATATATATATATATATATAATATATATATACATATATATATAATCTTCTTTCAACAAACCGGCCGTATCCCACCAAGGCAGGGTGGCCCAAAAAGAAAAACAAAAGTTTCTCTTTTTAACTTTAGTAATGTATACAGGAGAAGGGGTTACTAGCCCCTTGCTCCTGGCATTTTAGTCACATTTTACGACACGCATGGCTTAAGGAAGAAGAATTGTGTGTGTGTGTGTGTGTGTGTGTGTGTGTGTGTGTGTGTGTGTGTGTGTGTAACAGTGAAACTTTAACCATCAAGGACAGTAAACATACTCCAGGGAAGAAATACACTGATTTTTTCCTGATCTCTTAGGGGAAACGGAGGGGGGGGGGATTAACCTCATTAATATTCTGCTACAACAGGAGAAAGACGAAAATTTTCTCGCCTGTTTGTAGCTTAAAATAATGAGTGGAAAGATGGGTTGTGCCAAGCAAAGATAGCATGACCATTGTGGCGTTTCATCCCTAACACTCCCTGTGTGTTGGTCTCCTCACTGCTCCACTGTACCACTTCCGTGTAATGGTTATCATCACCTCTAAAATATATCCGAATTAGAAAAATTCTCAACCCAATGAGAAACCGTCACAAAACTCTCAAAACTCTCAAAACTCTCAAAACTCTGACTCAGTTATTCCTCTTAGGTCGTTACCTGAAGGTTACCTGTAGTAAATGCCAGGGGGTCACCGCCCCCGCGTTCCAGTCTCAGGTCAGTCCTCCTGGTGGCTGTTGGGTCCCTACCTGGAGTCTACCTGGAGGGTGTTCCAGGGGTCAACGGCCCCGCAGCCCAGGAAACGTTTCGTCACGAGTGGCATGTTGAGTGATGGTTGTTGTCCTGATCCATCAGCCTGTTGGTGTCAGCCTCTTCGCAAGAATTCATTAGTTTATATCGAACTGTGAAGCAGCAGAGGCGTGATCCTTCTTCCGCTAATCGCCGTTCGATCCAGTTAATACTCCCCATATTAACTTATTGAAAAAAGGGTTTAATTAACAACAGACATTGGATAAAATCGGCAACACACGTCTGCCAACGAGTTTCATCCGGCAAACATACATATATGCACGTTTTATCACCAGTGGTGCCATAATTTCTTGATTAAAGATAACATCGGCGGCCCTAGATAACCCATCTGTACACACAGACACGATAATGAATTGTGTTCCTAGCGTTCACGAGGAAACACCGGACAGTTACGGATCGTACAACACTGGGAAACGGAAGGTACTCAGGCTTGATCGACAATCACGTACCAACGGCCCACAAATCACGCACACAGGGTTCACTATCAGATACACACGACCCACAGTCGCGTACACAGGGAGTACAATCAAATATACAATGCCCACAACCACGTAATTACTGCCACAATCAAGTACGTATGACCAACACCCAAATGAATGTCAGTATAACTGCAAACGCCCACATGCAATAGCATATACTCTCACAGAATAGTTTTTTATAGTATTTCAACTTGAAGAGACAGAGAGATATACAAGTAAGCAGATAAACAGGGAGACAGGCACATTAACAGTAACACAGGTAGGTAAACAGAGGGGTAACAGGTAAATAGTGAGGCAGACAGGCTGTGGTATGACTTACCGTAAGGGAATGGGGAGGCAGATACACTAGCAGACAGACAGAAGACAGGAAGACGAATAGGAAGATAGGCAAGCAGGTAGAAAGACAGGTAGACAAATTGGAAAGCAAATTGGTAGAGAGAAAAGGAGATAGACAGACAGGACAATTGCTTAACAAGTAAGGGCACTCAATTCCCTTAAATACAATCATATGTTAAACACACACACACACACACAGGAGCTCGGACTCGACCCCCGCAACCTCAACTAGGTGAGTACACACACACACACACACACTCGAGGGCAGAGCTAGAAATTGAAGACGCAGATTAGTCACAGGGATGTCATGACGTATTTCCTCAGCCTGGGGGTAATCAGGAAGTGGAATGACCCAGACGAAGAAGCAGTGGAGGCAGGCTCCACACATAGCTTTAGGAACAGGTATAAAATGGCCCCCACGCGGCGGCTAAGAGGGAGTATGCTCAGCAGGTGGCGAGAGGGAGGTCCGTGGGGGCGGCGGGGTGAGAATCGACCCCAGCAACTTCGAGTAGGCGAGTGCAAATAGGTGAGTACTCAAGGGGACTGATTCCATCACAGACGCGCATACACACACACACACACACACACACACACACACACACACACACACACACACACACACACACACACACACACACACACACACACACACACCCAGCCACACGGTGGTACAACACCTCAGTTCTCTCTGAGAAACGGTGGCGAGCGGAGCATCGCTACCCGCCTCCTGTTCATTCATCACTGGGCCCAACACCAGTCACTCCTGAGACTGCACAACACCGTCCATATGCAACACCTCTCTATTGCAACGCTTTCCACGGATTATACATGCCAATGTTGATGCGTAATCGTCGAGGAGTATAATTCTGAGTGATCAATTCTTGCGTATATTGAGTTTCATACTTACGCTCGTGGTGAATTTGTGTTTCAACGGGGATAAAGAATTTTGTGTGAAAAGTTGTGTGTTTGTGGATACAAATATCCTGAGAATAAAAGCTGAGGCACGCTAGGGATTGAGTTGCAATTCCTTCTTGTATATGTGTGGAAAAAAATAAAACGAGGAACACAGTCGGGGGACGACAAATAAAACTGAAATCCCCAGTCCCTAGTTCACGTGTCTGGGGAAAAATCTTACACTCGAGATAAATCCCCAGCGTGCAGCCTCTAGCACAGTCCTCAGCTGTGTTGGAATCCAACGCCTGTGTTATCCATCCATCTATCAACTCATCCACTCATCAGTCCAGTCAACTGTCGCTGGACGCAATCCTGAATGTGCTGGGAATTTCTTAGGGATTATGGTTATCCCTAGAGTGCGTTGGGGGATTCCTGGGATGTTCGTCCACTCCCTCTGCTGACAACATACAGGAAAATGAGGTGAGGTTAATCTCTTAACGTAAGTTATGATAGAGGATTTACATAAATTTCTAATTTGTTTCAGAATATATATATAATATATATATATATATATATATATATATATATATATATATATATATATATATATATATATATATATATATATATATATATATATATATATATATTTATGACAAGCCATTGAAGTCAAAAATCATTATTATTATTATTATTATAATATTCACGGAGGAGCGCTAAACCCACAAAGACCACACAGCACTGGGGGAAAAAAGGAACTAATTAGGTTTTGATCCGAGGGCGGGAAGAGCAGCTTAAAAGAAGGAGGCTTCCCCCCCCCTTTCCATCTTGAAGGCTCAAGGCGGAAGAAGAATTATGGGGAACAACGAGAGGCTGCGGGTGTTGATCTGAGGTATCGGAGCTGCTCCCCCCTCCCCCATTCATTCTTCGTGCGTTATATGGTCCCCTACGGGTGAAGCGCTTCCCCCATGGATACAACAAATTAGTAACAAAACTGTGATGCATCCGACTCTCAAGGCGTAATACAGCTGCTGTATCATGCATCAATATACATAGCTGTATCATAACATCAACAATGCATCATACACATCAGACATCCAACATTATTATACATCATCATATGTTCATTATCATAACATCAACAAATTCAATAATACATGAACATTAATAACACAACACAACAACAATAATAATATAACAATATATAATAACTATAAAATATAATAATATAATATATAAAAAATAATAATAATTAATAATATACTAATAGTACATACATATACATTACTGACATCAATGACATACATATACTGAATCAATAATACTACTATAAGTACATCAATAATAATAATAAATAATGAATAAAAATAATGAATCAATAATATACTATAAGCTACATCAGATACATTACAGATATGACATCCTATGCTGACATCAATGACATACTACTATATAGCTGACATCAATGACATACTACTATATAGCTGACATCAATGACATACTACTATATAGCTGACATCAATGACATACTACTATATAGCTGACATCAATGACATACTACTATATAGCTGACATCAATGCATACTACTATATAGCTGACATCAATGCATACACTAAGCTGACATCAATGACATACTACTATATAGCTGACATCAATGACATACTACTATATAGAAAGCCGCTTGTTACGCAGAGCACTTCAGGTAAATTAGGTCAATTTTGTCCCAGGATGCGACCCACACAAACAACCAGGTACCTGTTTTAACTGAAAGATGAAGAGGGACAGCAGGTGTCTTAAGGAAAAACGTCCTAATGTTTCCACCCGTACCGTGGATCGACCACCGGACCTCAGTGTGTGAGCTGAGTGCCCTAGCAATCGAGCTACTAATACTAAGCCAAAATTTTGGACTTTAATGGGTCATTCTAGGATCAGTCTAGGATTTCCTAGCCACTAGATTCATCCTAAGATAAATCTAGGATAACGAAGCCTGGTCTCAGACCGAGCCGCGGGGGGCGATGACCCCCGATATTCTCTCCAGGTATTCCCATCCTTTGCTTCGTCCTGGCATAAATCTCCATAATGTGAATCATTAAGTAGATTTATCCATATATTCACGAATTTTTTCGAAAAATTATTGAGGCAATGTTTGTGTCTAGAGCTTTAATAAGTGATACTTCTGTCTTCGTAGAGCTTTATCAAGTCATAACTCGCTCTGTGTCGAGCTTTACCAAACCATTTGCTTGGTAAAGTTTGAGTGTAGAGCTTTATTAAGTCATTTTTTTTCATTCTGTGTAGAGCTTTATCAAGTCATACTGCGTCATGTTCAAAGCTTCATCAGGTCACATTTCGCTCTAGGTAGAGAGTTATCGTCATACATCGCTGAGTTCAGAGCTTTAATTAGTCATTCTCTGTTGTGTATAAAGCTTTATCGAGTCATATTTAGATAAATCAGTATAAATTCATTCTTCACTGTGCAGAGCTTTATCGAGTCATTCTTGTCTGTGTGTAGAGCTTTATCAAGTCATTCTTTACTCTGTTTAACGCATCATTAAATTACGCTTCGCTGCGTGTAGAGAGTAATCATGTCACTCTTCGCTCTACGAAGACCTTTATAAAGTCATATTTCGCTCTGTGTAGAGCTTTATCAAGTCGTACTTTGCTCTGTCACTGTTACTATGTTCTTCGAAATGTCACTGTTACTATGTGTTCGAAATGTAACTGGTACAAAACATCGACACTAAGGAAAAAAAGAGAGCACAAATGCAGTGTGCTGCTATCCCTTTATTTTTTAGACAACGTTTCGCTCCCACACAATGGGCTTTATCAAGTCATAAACAGATCTGTTTCTGAGCTAATAAAGCCCACTGCTGTGGGGGAGAGACGTTGTCAATAAAGGATCACATTAATCAGTCTTCTCTCTCTCTCTCTCTCTCTCTCTCTCCGAAGTGACGATGCAATTTGCATTTAGCCCGTAGGCTCCGCGGTAGTCTGCGTGCAGTGTCATCTGCCTGACCACTAGTGGCATGCAGGTTGCAGGCTCCACACGGCCGTTGTTATGCACATGGTGTATGTATGCGATGACCTCGCCCTCAACTCTCGGGTTATATCTGTGTGATCTATAAGCAGAAACTCCCTTCCCCCCCTTCCTCACATACACATACGCGCCACATACTCGCTAAATTGCTATGCAATAAAGCTCAGATTGCAGCAGCAGCGGCATGCATTATGGCACATAGCAGGTTGCACACGGGTCGTTACAGCCATTGAACATCTTACTGGACCAGTATGTCCAAGGATAGTTAGCATACTGCCTCACAGTTTACTTCTCCTTGTGACTAGTCTCAGCGATAGTATACCAGTATGATTACACTAGATCATACCACCTGGACGGTACGTCACTTGCAGGAAAATCTGCTTCGTGGTATTCGTGATAGGAGAAAAAAAAGAATATATATATATATATATATATATATATATATATATATATATATATATATATATATATATATATATATATATATATATATATATATATTAGGACTAACTTGCCTCAGTGACAGTGTGACTTGAAGCTTATTATTTTTTTTAAGAGAAATTTAACTTGTCTCATTGACAGTATACGTCACATCGTTCCTCTTATTAGCAGAGTGCTGCTAGTTCTCTCTTGGATAGCTGTTGTCGAAACCATATTTACGTCTCTGTTCATTAAGTCATCTTAGGATACTGCTAGGTGGTGATCTCTGTTGTTTTAGTTGAGGTGTGAAAGTTGGGGTAGGCTAGTGGATGCTGATCTGTTTCTTGTAATAGTATGGTTGGTAGATAGGAACCGTGCTGTCAGCAACCAGGCAGGGAGGTACTACCGCGCTGTCAGCAACCAGGCAGGGAGATACTACCGTGCTGTCAGTAACCATCCGGGCAGGCACTACCGTGCTATCAGCAACCATCCGGCTGATCGAGCACTTGCAGGAGACAATGTTTCAATTTGTCTTGTAAACTTATCCCCACGTCCGGCAATACTTTTTGTCATGTGCTGGTATATAGCAGGCTGGAGAGAATTCCACCGCGGATGTTGACGCAGTACTCTCTTACTGTTCCCATGGCACCTCTCCCAGTTTCACTGGATTTTTTTCCTCACTGCCTCACATATTTCTCACACTGCCTCACACATTTCTACTATGTATATGTACTAGTAATCTCTCTCTCTCTCTCTCTCTCTCTCTCTCTCTCTCTCTCTCTCTCTCTCTCTCTCTCTCTCTCTCTCTCTCTCTCTCTCTCTCTCTCTCTCTCTCTCTCTCTCTTCTCCGTTCCAAAGAAAACGGCAGAAAAAATCCAAATGCTTTGAGATGTTTCCACTAGTTTAAATATTTTGCCGAGTCTGTGGAGGCAGCAAACGACCACCGAACACTTTCCAGCTCTGCTCTCTTCTGTTTTGACAGGCGCTGTTAGCACAGCACAATAATCGAATCGCGAGAGCGTCTATGTTCATAATCTATTTTTGGATAACTATCTAATTAGAAGGAATAATTCATTTCGTCCTTGTATGCTTTCCCAGCGCATTTATAGTCGCTCTGTAATACAGAGATCACAACCACGGCACATAAATTAGTGTAATCTCATCGATACTTTTGCTGAAGTCTACGTGAAGACTGATTTGGGGGCCCCCGAGGCCCGGTCCCAGACCAAGTCTTCTTGTTGATGGTTAGCAGGGAGTTCTGGTTAGCAGTAATCTAAAACCAAGACAACAGTGCATAAGTGTTCGCAATAAAGCGAACAGAATCCTTGGCTTCATATCAAGGAGTATAATAGGAGTCCTCAGGTTGTTCTTCAACTCTATAAGTGAAGATTGAGACACTTATGCAACATATAGGAATCTTTAGTGAAGAAACGTTTCGCCACACAGTGGCATCATCAGTCCAATATAAAGCAGAAAGGTGTAAGGAGGGGAGTATGAGGGAATGAGTCCCTCAGCCTGGAGTCGATGTGTTCAGTCCATCAATCTTGTAGAAAGTACAGCATATTGTCGTAGAAGTGGCTTGTGCACAGTAGTCAGGTGAGTCGAAGCAGGAGGAGGCGGGATCATTGATGCAAGGAATTCTTCAACACTTGTCCAACCTTAGAACGAAGACCTACTTACACTAGTGGATGGTTTCACTGTGATCCCGCCTCATCCTGCTCCGACTCACCCGACTACAGTATATAAGCCACATCTACGGCCCTCTGCTGTACTTTCTACAATGGACTGAACACATCGATTCCAGGCTGAGGGACTGATTACCTCAAACTCCTCCTCTCCTTACACATTTCTGCTTGATATTGGACTGATGAAGTCACTGTGTGGCTAAACGTTTCATCAATAAAGATTCCCATATATTGCATAAGTGTCTCAATCTTCAACTTGTCGGTTTTAAACCATTTATCACAACTCTATATATCTTTGGTTAGGCCTCATTTAGATAATGCTGCACAGTTCTGGTCACCG